GGCTAAATGACGTAGTGTATCGGATCCAAACCGTTGGGAGTCCAAGAAACAAGATGAAAGTGGTCCACCTGGAGAGGCTTGCTGAGTTTGGAACAGCGAATGTGTCTGATCGGGACGATCAGACTTAGGAGGAGGGCAGTGTTGCGAAAATGCGAGGCGAATGTCAGATGAAAGAGGGAAGCCGATAAGTAATACATTCTAGAACGATAAAACGAGAACCTTCGATAGCGAACAACTCGATTATTCAACATTTTCGTCTACGAGCAGCCGACTGCTATATAAGGGCGACAATCAGCTGCCAACTTAAGTCAGTGACAAAGTGAACTCGTTGGTAACAACATAGAGTATAGCAGAATAAACTATTTGAGTCGTAAAGTAAACGCGTTGGAAATTACATTTAAGTAAAGTAGATTGTGAAAGTAATGAAAGAAATTATAACTAGTAAAGTGCATTGTAATTGAATTGTGAATTTCGAGTAAATAAAGGTTATTAGATAAATTCTTTATAACGAAAGAAACTGCAAATTAAAATGACGATTTTTATTTAACAATCCAGAGATCGTACCCGAAGGATTCAGAAAATCATTGAGGTTGATGTAACAAAATCGTAACAATATTTATTAGGAATGACGAGTAATCGAATAATAATTTCTGAAACTGTAATCGATTAATTGCCGGTAATAACATAACTATAAGCTATTTAGAAATATCCTCGGCAAAGCTGGTGTAATTATTTTGTTTTTTGTGTGGTAAAATAACCATTAACATTTTACGATGCCTTATGCAAATCAACCATCTGTACAAATAACCGAACTCACTGACGACAATGTTAAATTTGTTTTGGAGGATACAGAATTAAGTGTTGCAAATAGTTTGCGACGTGTTTTTATAGCCGAGACGCCAACACTTGCTATTGATTGGGTTCAGCTTGAAGCAAATTCTACGGTGCTCTCTGACGAATTTTTGGCACATCGCATAGGACTTATACCTTTGATATCTGATGAAGTTGTGGAACGCCTGCAATACACACGCGATTGTATTTGTTTAGATTTTTGTCCAGAATGCAGCGTAGAGTTCACTCTTGATGTTAAATGTACTGAAGAACAGACGCGCCATGTCACAACTGCCGACTTGAAATCGAGTAACCCGAAAGTTTTGCCTGTAACATCGCGGCACTTAAATGAAGAAGATAATGAATATGGAGAAAGTACGGATGAAATTTTAATTATTAAACTTCGTCGAGGACAAGAGTTGAAATTGAGAGCTTATGCGAAGAAAGGCTTCGGTAAAGAGCATGCCAAATGGAATCCTACTGCTGGCGTATGCTTCGAATATGATCCGGACAATGCAATGCGACATACATTATATCCTAAACCAGATGAATGGCCGAAAAGTGAACATACCGAATTGGAAGATGATCAATATGAGGCCCCCTACAATTGGGAAGCCAAGCCGAATAAATTTTTTTATAATGTGGAGTCGTCTGGCGCATTGAAGCCCGAAAATATAGTAATAATGGGCGTACAAGTACTTAAAAATAAATTGTCTAATTTGCAGACACAGTTAAGTCATGAGACACAAAATGATGCATTAGCGGTGTAACATTATATTCATAAATTTTGAGCAAATAAATACGTTAAAAAATTATCTTTTATTCTTCGAATATTTTTTTAATATTAACATTTGGCTTATTGCGATCTTCTTTATTTAAGCTATCTGCAAAATTACTCGATAAGCTGATTGTGGATTCATCTTTTGCCTCTGGACTTTTTCTTGTTTGTTCCGCCAACATTTCTACAGCAGTGTCGAAAATTTTTTCTTCATCTAAGGGATTTTGTTCTTTTAAATTTTCATAGATTTGTATAAAATTTTGCGATTGCGTCTTGCGCCTTGCATCCAACAAATTTAGTGTTTCGTGCCTTTCCGACTTGTGGTATTTCCTAAGGAATTCTTAATTAGACTACAGCTTCATTTTGGCTAAAAAACTTACGCTCTTATTACATCTTCGGCATAAAATATGTTCTTAATTTTTATATCGGGAGCAGGTCGATCATAGCGCGGTTCCAGTTTTGGTGGATAAGCTGTGTACAAATCATACCAAATGGGTCTGTCTTCGAATCTCATGGCACCGGCTTTTATCAAACCATTCACTCTTGAAAGACATTTAATACCATTTTAGTTTATTAAAATATAAAATCCGCTTATTTCGAACCTAGTGAATATTGTTCCAATTTTTTCCAATCTACTTTGCGCCATTCTTAACAAGATTAACAATTTTTCGATGAATAAAATAATATAAAGTTATGAAACATATGATATTTTTAGTGATGGGTGATTTGCCGATACTTGCCCTTTCAAAATGAAACTTTTTTTTCGGTACACTGTATCAATTTGAAATATCGTTTCACCCTGTGATTTTTGCATAGTCCTCTTTTTAAGCTATACATGTTGCAATAGAGTAATTATTTGATTTAATTGAGCAGCCAAACAGTTTACAATTTAATTTAATTTAATTTTTGTATATTATTTAAAAACGGCAATTCGGCGTAAAATTAAAAATATACTTCTATACAGGGTTGTACATATTTACACAATATAATTTTAATTAAGTATTTTTTATATTTCAAAAATGGAATTGCGGGAAATACTATTTCGCTTATAAATTAACGGAAGTGTGATATTGTTTTGTTCTAGATTTTTCTATATGGTACTGGTAACAAATAATTTTCCCCAAATGTAGTCCATTAAAGGAAAAGCTTCCCGCGAAGGAAAAGATAGACGAGATAGGAATTTGCATGAGTGCCGGAGTTTTCTCGGGATAAGCTCTAACTATCAACCAATTCGTTCCGAATTTCGCCAGAAATCTTTCGAGTGGAGCAAGGAAAAAGAGGAGACCTTCCAACCTCTGAAGGAATGGCTAAGCACTAAAATATTTATTCTGGATACGGACGCTAGTGGTTATGCCATAGGAGGTGGCGTACTTTCACATGCAATTTATGGACAGGTAATGAAAGTTGTCTACTTTGGCCATTCTGTTGGAAAGCTGGAGCCGAGTTAGGATGGATCATGCAGCACTTAAATGGATACTCCAGTTCAAGAATCCTGGAGGACACCTAGCTCGGTGAATTGTACGGATGGAGATGGGCAGACGGCCAAGAAATGTGACATTTTTACGATACGGTGAACAAACATCAGTTTCTGATCGGATATCGGACCACAATGCACGAAACAACGAGTTTCAACACCAGCAAGAATACCTTTCGGTAATGAACTTCGTTTGTCGAGTGATTTGAAGTTATGAGTAAATGGTGATGCGAGAAGATTTGATATTAATTGGCACTTTGTAACCGCTGAAGCGATTTTCGGCCGTGCCCCTCCTCCAATTTGTGGTTTTGCGGTTTGATGTTTTTCCAGCAAATGGAAGGCCTACAGTTTATACTAAGCCGCCTTCGAATGGTTGATGATTTTTTTTATGAGAAGCTATTATTTCATGTCATAAATACACTCGGAGGGGTTGACATTCCCTGTCAAAGGCCGACGGCAGTTAGAAAATTCTACATATTGGGTGTATACATTAATTCGTGCGGTTTTCTAAGAGAGGGCTCTACTAGTATTATTTGGAGTCGATTTGCACGATTTAAAAGTGGCAATTTCGACTTAGACGATGGAGATTCGGATTTTTCTAATGTGAAGTATTTACTTGCCTTCTGCACGTTTTCTCAAATTCGTACTTTCATCTTAGAAAGGTTTGTCAGCAACCGTGACAGTGTGCGTCAGGGCGTATACCACCAGAGAATTAAGCAGAGCATTCTCTTTTAAGCGGAGACCGTAATCATAATAAATGTATAAGTTATAAAATAAAAATCACATAGTTGATAAAATATTTTTTGGGTTTTTAGTTAAATACTCAAACAATAATTATAAACATTATTAATCAAGTAAAATTATGGTATAAAAATCATAAAATAGTAAATTACTTTAGATTTGAAAAGAGAAGGTAGCCTTGCGGTCCTTTTGTTTATAAGACTTTCCGCCTGTCCAGGTATGAAACGGCTATGAAATGCGGAGATTTTAGAGATGGAGATTTAGTGTTGCTATAAAACTCACTAAGGAAGAAAGGTTTGTCTCTGAAAATTCAATGCAATTAGTGATAAGGTCACCAAACGACTGAACGATGTAGTTTGGAACAGCAAATGTATCTGATCGCGACGATCAGATGTAGAGAAAAGCGTTAGATAAGTGGCTTCTAATGGGTATGTAAATAAGTTGTTAAGTTCGTGCGGAGGCACAATGCATGTGTGACAAATGTGCGTTAATTATGTCGGCTTCAAGGCCGGATGTATCGGAGTTGAGTCTATTCGGGCCTGGCAAGGCAGCTATAGATTTTCATCGTTAACCAGGAGCATAGTTGACTGCGTAAGTGGTGCATTGGTGATGGTACCTGAAGATTTTACGATATGGTTTAAAGAACAATGTTCTGATAGGTTTGTAGTTTCTTCACCTGCGTTTCGCTCTTCCCCGGCGTCCAGATCATTGCAGAATAGTTTACGATCGTGCGGTCTATTTTTTGTTAGTTGCGAGCAACGCCTCCTTATCTTTGTCCCCCAAGTGCTGCCAAATAGCGATTTGATGATTTGATGCGATCGCAGTTGCAAGCGGAGCGCGAGCGATCGAATGCTGCTCTAAGTAATTTAGGGTTGTTTTTTGTAAGAATTTTGACTTCCAAACTCAGATCGAGCTTGCTGGCGGGACAGAAAGGCCCAAGTAATTTCTCTAGAACGGAGAGAGGAGGATTTTGGTGAGAAATTCTGCCCCAGCTGGAAGAATTTTTTTTAGCATGTTCATGGTTATTCCATCGGGCCTGATGGATGTGGAATGCTTTGCATTTGTCGTCTTTTCCTGAACTTCATTTGTGTGAAAATCAACCGCTGCACTGGTGCTTGACACAGACGGCGAGTCACTTGTCGTTTTATTTAGTCAACCCAATAGCTCGCGCAAATCTTCGGAAACTAAAAATTGCGGCAATTCTTTGACTGTGGCCCAAAGCTTGGTGCGCCAGGAGACAATTTTCAGGAACTTAAGTGTTCTTTCGACTTGTTGCGATTTGCCAATTACTGGATCTTCAAGTTGAAAGCTTCGGTTAAGTTGACATATGTCCGGTGTTCCTCGGGAACCAAGTCCTCGGAAATAAAGTCGGGGAGCCAAACGAAGTAGATAATTGTGAGCAAATCGTCTCTTGCCAGATTCAGTATAAATGGTAAGGTTATGCTTTTTATTAGTCCAATGCTAGAAATTGTGATATCGAGAGCCAGAATTCATTGTTTCAAGTAGTGCACCGGTTGTTAAACTGCATCATTACAAAGTATTTTGACGTTTTGAAACTCGCCCTTTTGTTTGAGTATGATCTTGTTTTCTGTTATTTATTGAAGTAGTACCTTATGTGGAGGTAATTGACGCAAGCTCGCTCGAGGACTCAACCAACTCTGCTGAAAACAAAATTACAATTACACTGATGTGGAAAAAATTGGGTGCTACTCCTATTTGAACGTCTACTACGCTACTTTTTGCCTTTAGCTCAAAATAATAATAATGAATTCCATAAACGTTTGTTTACTTAATTAAATATAATTTTTTAATATAATTCGATGAACGACGCCTGATGTCTTCGTTGCCTTTACGTCACAAAAGTAACGAGGATACATGGATATATAAAAGACAATCAGGAATAAATAGTAGGGCAGCATTAGTCGAGTTTGCGGTTGCCTATCGGTTGGGAATGTGAAGTACTTTGAGTGTACATCTGTCATGAAATAAAAGCTCTTCATAAAAACCCATCGGCCGTTCAGAGGCTGCTCGCAATAAACTGTAAGCCTCTCCATTTATTGGAATTATACAGACGTATACTAAAAGTTTGAGGAAGAGCTCAGCCGAAAATTGCTTCAGCGGTTACATAGAGACATGTATAACGTAATAAATACAGCCAAAAGAATAGAAATGAATTTTTATTGAAACAGCATTTAGTACTTTACTGACTTAGTAGTATTGACAGTAAAATTCAGGAAGAAAAAATCATACATATTGTTACGATTTCGTTGAATCAACCTCGATGATTTTCTGAATCCTTCGGGTACGATCTCTGGATTGTTAAATAAAAACTCGCCAATTTAATTTGCAGTTTCTTTCGTTATAAAGAATTTATCTAATGTCCTTTATTTACTCAGTAATTCACAATACAATTACAATGAACTTTACTAGCTACAATCACTGGCATAAAACTTTCACAATCTACTTTACTTAAATGTAATCTCCAACGCGTTTACTTTACGACTCTATACTCATGTTGTCGCCAACAAGTTCACTTTGTAACTGACTTCACTTCGCAGCTGAGTGTCGCCCTTATATAGCAGTCGGCTGCTCGTAGACGAAAGTGTAGAATAATTGAGTTGTTCGCTATCGAAGACTCTTGTTTTATCGTTCTAGAATGTACTAGTTATCGGCTTCTCTCTTTCATCTGACATTCGCCACACATTTTCGCCACAATACATTTCATATTTTATAATAAATTACCACTTCTTTTGTGGGTTCGGCTGAAATTTTTTTCACTCGAACTCATTACTTTGTAGTGATTTATTTATGCAAAGTGAAAGCCCAAATACATTTTGACAAACAAATACAAAGTTTGTGTTGTGCTACTCGAACTGCTCGACAATTTCTAATAAAAAGGCTTTAATTTTCAGCCATATAAAGTAGTTGGGCGGTTGCTATATCCGAGTGGTTAGCATTGCGTACTGATATTCAGAAGATCTAATCTTGATTATTTATTGAAATCCTGTTTCGACTAACTTCTAAAATAACAGAAAATTATTTTTTCTAATTGTGGTATCCTTTGTCAGGGAATGTTGATCCCTCCGCCGTTCGGAGGCGGCGTAGAGTGCCAATATATACACACATATACAGTATGTAAGCCATTTGGTAACATAACATTTCCAAATACTATATTTGGTTCTATCTTCGTTTAAAATAAACTTTTGAATAAGAAAGATAAGTTCACTAAATAGCCCTATGAAATGTCAGTTACTAAGTGCGGAATTGTTGGAAATACACCGTTACTTTTCAGAGAATATTTAAAAAATTTAGACGAAGGCATATAATCAATAAGTTGAGTTTGTAAGTTTGTGTATTAGTCGACGTAATATTGCTCTGCAGCTCAAATTCTTCTTTTTATACTATAATTAATAGTGGTGAAATCGTTAGAATCTATTTTTTACTAAAATGTAAGTGTTGAAACGTGCACATAAACAGGACACCACCCTAATTTTGTGTGCGCACCCTAACGAGCCTTCATCAGCGCAAGCAGCTATATGAGCCTTGCTTGTCAAGCAATAGATGAGATTTTCTATTCAACGCTTGATGGCAGATGACGCACCGGGGTACATATATAATAATTGTATACATATACAAATAGAGGACACTGTATAAAAAAATATATTTTGTCATCATACAAAAAATAAGATTTGTATTAAAAATTAAATAAACAATTGTATAATCAACGCGAGTGGTTTTATTTCGAATGGCTTATGCCCTCGCGCGAATATGGTCCTTCGAGCCAACCTTGAATTGGCATCCTATAAAGATAGTGCCACTAACTAACAAACAAAACAATCAATCCAACAACCTACGCGCGCGCACGGCGTATTTTTATCGCGGCATCTCCCTATTTAGTGAACTCAGAAATTGTATACCTAACTTTATGAGTGGAACTAAAGCGAAAATAAAAATTAATTCGTGAAAGTGTTTGTGCACACATTTAAAGAGAAAAATACTATTTCTTTTACTCATCTCGGCCGATTGGCATCAAACTCAAAGCAAGTTAAATACGTAAGTATTTTCTACTATTTGGCTTCAGCATAATTGAAAAAACTTAATTCAACAAAAATGGAAGAAATCAAAAGCCTTTTTGATTTAAACACAAAACACATAGAAGTTTCAAGGCTCGTCATAAAGCTCTTTATTTAAGAAAACAAGCCTGGACGAATGTCAATTTTGAGCGCAACACTGGAAGTACTCATGGTTAGGCTGATAAAGTGTTGGTTTAGGACCCAAATTAGGTGTGACCTCTTCCATGATGTTGGAAAAAACGTAGCAAACGCGGATGTGTCAAAATAAAAAAAACATCTCTTGATAAAATGACACTGTGAATTGAGGCTCCAGTTAACAAAAATAACAAAAATAAAACTTACACCCGAAATGACTGGATCTGAGACATATGGTCAGACGAAATAGAAATAAACCACCTTGTAAAAGATGGCGGCAATAGATTTGGAGTAAACCTCATGAACCATTGACTATCCACATTGTACAACCAACGTTGAAGGCTGAAGGTGGTTGGAGAGTGTGTAAGGGTTACCGGGCGAATGTCAATCGAATATGCTTGGTTTGAGGTCAACCGTGCGATCTCTATTTACCACATGAGTGTCAAAATCTTAACCATTTATGAAGGAAGGCACAAAATTACTGATAAAATATTAGCAGAGATTAAATTATTATTATTAAGTAATAAAAACACAACTTTTTTTTTGCTAGGTTCATTAACATCTCGTTCCAAAGACCAAGCAACAACACTATATCAACGGAAACTGGAAATTCTCGCAATTTGGAACACCACATTGTGATTAAGTTCCTTGTAAAGAAAGGAAGTACATCGAGAGAAATTTTTGAAGAGATGTCTTAAGTTTTTCAGGACACTACCTCTTCATATGCGGCCATTTAAACAAGGAGAAGAGACCTGTGAAGATGTCCCCTTCCCGGGGTGCCCGAAGGTGATGGTTGTGACCGAAGAAAATGTTCAGAAAGTCGAAGAATTAAATTGTGGCAGATAGCAGAAGGAGTACAGATTAGCAACAAATAAATTAGAAAGATTTTGCATGAACATTCGAATATGAAAAAAAATTAGTGCGCATTGAGTACCGCGAAAGTTCACGCCGCTCGACAAGCAGTGACGATTGGATTGTAACAGTTCATGAAACTTGAATTCGTCAATACGATTTCGAGTTCAAAGCAATCGACGCAGTATATAAAAAATGGGAAAGGCCACCAAAAATATGCACAGTAGAAAAGTTGGTGTAGAAGATTGTGACTACCATTTTCTGGGATAAAGAGGGAATATTATTAATTAATTACTTGTCAAAAAGAACTACAATGAACGGCCAATATTACGCTAATTTGTTGAGTCAGGGCCGTGAGGCAGTCGTACAGATAGAAGCGTGGCAAGTTAATGCACGGAATACTGTTTTGACCAGACAACGAACGCTTTCACACCGCTCGGGTTGCGAGGGATGCCTTAAGAGCTACTGCATTCATAGAAATTGACTATCCACCTTACAGTCAGGACCTGGACGGGAACGAAGATTTTCAGACGGCACGACAGTAAGTCGAATCGACATTTTGAAGAGAAATCTAAATCTAATCTATAAAGGCAATGGTATTCACAATGTGAAAAAGTGTATTTCACTTCAGGGAGATTTTATTTTGAAAATAAAAAACATTTGTTTATTAAGTACTTTAGAATGCGAATTATCAGTCGCCCCTCGTATGTAGATACGTATATACAAATGTCTTGAAATTTGGTATTGAACACTGTAATTAAATTCTGCAAATATAAAATAGTTGGACCGCGGTACCTCTGGAGATATATTTTCACCCACTCTTGATGTCTCTTAAATAATTTGCGCTTGATTTAACAACAGTTTCCAGAAGTTTTTACTTTACATTCGCCACAACTGTTCATTTCATCAGCAGTTAGTCATTTTGGCCTTCCTATTTTGGACCGATTTAATATTATATAATGAATTTTGCTATAAAACTATATTTACTTTATGCCTTTTAAAATATACATATGTATATACATTTATATTATACAATATATGCAAATATTTTAGAATAATATTGTCCTAATTTCTCTGGATATGCTTCAAATAATTTAATAAAAAAAATTATTTACAAAAGTTTATGTACTCTGAGCTTTATATGAAAATAAGAGGAGATCTCTGCATTACGTTTCGGTGGGAATAGCGCCATCTTCAATGTTATTCCCGATGAGGTTTGTGGGGTGCACATAGCTAATACCAGCAATATCTCTTGCATAAGGTGGTACACCATTAGTTTGCAGATAGAAGTCACCAGTTATGCTTAAGTTATAAAATAGTTAAATAAATTTAAATCAAAAAAATTCAGAAAAAGATTCTTACTTTGTAGGGCAGCCATGGCCCATGACTACCTGTTGTTGTTCTCCGTTGTCTATTAATTTGCCATTTTTAAAGTCTGCCCAATTTTTCGCTTTAACAGCATAAAATTTTTGAGGAAATGCTGATTTGACACTTTCAGCCCAAAACCACCACGATCGTCGATGGCTCGATAAATCTAAAAAATATCAGAGATTTTAAAATAAAACTTTGTTTTTGAGACAAGACATTGCTTTTAAGTGAAATAATCGAGATAGATATAGATAAAACTAAACTTTATTGTAGTAGCCATATATTGTCTTCTCTTGCGACAAAAATTACTCGATTAGTTGAGATTTTGTTATGTAACTTGATTCAAATTTTCTTTGTGATTGTAAAAATCAGTTCATGACATGGTCCACAATCCAATTGTATACATATAAACATATAAAACGGTGGTATATTTGACTCGCAGTAAGGTCCAGAACAGTTTCAAAAGCTGCCAAAGAAAGACCAAGAACTTTTGCTTATAAGAAACAAGATCTACTGTGAGTGACAAGAACTCTTAGCTACATATATATATAGGAGAGAAATTTGAAAGTTGTGCATAAAATGAATTTTTTATGATAAAGCTTGTAATGTTTGTTGCTTTTTGGAGAATGTTGCGGGAATGACAGTCGTTGACCGCGAAAATATTCAAGTCGTTCCGTAATAGAACCCCGACTTTCACGGGAACTATTTGACTATAATCGGCTCTTAGGGCAGGCATGCATTATCGCGCGGATAAATGTTCGCACCTTTAATTGCAGGGCGTACAAATAACAGATTGATTTATTTGACCACGAATATTACATGAAATAATATAGATCTCAAATTTACATTGATGCTACCAACAAAAGCAGCCCGCCTCCATTCTCATAATAGGTAATAAGGTGTGGAATTTCATTTTCATTGTTGGAAAGAAGTAATAACTACGCGGGTTAGCTAATTGGGTGAGTTGCTTCTTATGCAACTTTTTGAATAAGTTCTGGCGTGTTAACGTCGATGCCTCCGCCCGTTCTCGGGTCAACTTCAAGGGATTTTCTTACTTGTTTAAATCGTAATCTTTCCCTGACATGAGTTGTCGAAATCCAATATCATCTCATTCATGATGGAACGGCATGATATTCGACTTTTCCCATATATAATATCACTTTTCACTCCCGCTCATGTTGCTGGTTTGAGGATTGCTCAAAGACTAATTGCCTAAAAACAATGAAACCTCTTATTTACAAATACAAATTATGACCGCCGCAGTCGAGTGATTAGTATTGCGCACTGCCATTCGGAAGGCCCGGGTTCAAGTCGGGGTACGACTAACATCCAAAAGTTATAGAAAATTAATTAAAAGTAAAAAAAAATGAGTTAAATTTTTTAATAGAAGTCGCTCCTCGGCAGGGAATGCCAACCGAGTGTATTTCTGACATGAAATAGAGGCTCCTCATAAAAAGCCATCAGCCGTTCGGAGGCGGCTTACTATAAAGGGTGAGTTCCAAAACTTCAGTTGCAAAGCAACCATACATTGTCAAGCATTCCTAAATGTGCAAACTTTGACGATGTATAGCAAACTGCGCAGCCTTAAGGCTTGTGATGCTTTATTTTATCATAAATTCTTAACAACAACAGCCGACGCGCAAAGCAAGGTTTTTCCGCAAATAATTTTTTTTAACATTATATTACTTAATTGCTTTATCTGATTCATATTTTAGCCATTTCACCGAAACTCAACTTGTTTGCACGAAAATCGTTCCAAAATGTCAGATTTTGCAAAGTATTGCTGCAAGGCAAATTTATAGAATGAAGGGTTGCATTGTTATGGTGCGGTTTCGCCCAAACTGTGGGTCCCTCCATTTGTTGGAAAAACCTCAAGGCGCAAAACCACAAATTAAAGGAGGAGCCCGGGCGAAAAGCGCTTCAGCGGTTACAAAGCAGCAATTATATATTATATTATAAATAATTATGACTCACTGCACACTTTACGATCCTAATGAGGGGTAGTTTCCCCTAAAACTCTGTCACTCAGCGGATATCAAAAGCTCCCTCGTGCATATTAATGTCTGCATATATTAATTAATTATATTTCTTTAGAGCTTACCATTATCACTTAAAAGCCTGTAGTTTCTTTTCGGACAACCGGGCTGCAATGTTGTGCCACCGTTAGGCCAAAAATCTGCTGTACCTGTACTCACTGGTGCGCCATATAGCCAAGCGTCTGTGTGTATTACATCAACAAATTCCGCATCATCACTACTCAAATGACTTGAAAATGTTCCATAAAATAAAGGGAATGCAGGATCTAAAGCTGATAACCTTAACATATATTAAATCGTTAAAATTAATTAGTCTTAGAAAAATATTGAATTCAAGAATATACATATACATATGTATATGTGTATATGTACATATGTATGTGACTAACCTTGGAATTTTTTTCGTTTTGTCGTTTCTTCTGTAGACTTCTCTACCAATTATGCCAGCCATTTGCCCACCAAGTGAATGACCGACTATATGGATTTTGTTGATGTCCAAGCCTTCCTCAAACATAGCTGTTAAGTATTTGGCAAAAACAGTCCCCAACTTGGATGTGTTTAATTATTTCGCTTTTTAACCACACATTTCATTGAAAAATATTTATATATGTAATAACGTACCTGTTTACAATTGATCACAGCATCAAAGATGTAGTTCCCATTGGCTAATTCACCCCAATCCAGAATAATGAGATTTAAATCTTTTCGTTGGAGATATGCATCTACGATTACATGTACACTCTCTATATCTGCGTCTTCCAAATATCCGTGTATATAAATTACTGTATTTTTAGTTTTAGAAAAAAATTTATCTTCCAGCAGCGATTTGTAATCATCCAGCGCATAAATGGCACTATCTGCATAAGTGGGGCTGTAATGCAGACAGACGATCAGATTACTTTATATATCTACTATGATATATAATAGTTTAGTTTTACTTTTTATAAAACAGATGAAGAGGCTCTTTTGTGCTTTTAAATAAATATTTATTATTTATTCTATATTTTCAACAATTCAATTCAAATTCCATTCACGCATTAAAAGTTTAGAGGCTTTAAAGAAAAACGTTTTATCACTCATACAGCTAACTAACATGTTTTGGCGATGGTAGAGTAGTTTTCTCAAGAGTTGACTCAATTGAGTTGACTTTCCGTATATCGATCATTGCAGTGTATACCGGCGTATATTAGTGCAGGGTTCCCGAGTAAGAATATCTTTATTTTCAACACTAGTTAGGTAGGTATTAATTCGCTTGGCTCTCGTACAATAAAATAAAAAAAAATTATGCTAGACTGCCGCCGACCTCTACAGGAGATGGCCAAGGCAGAACTTGTTAGGCAAGACACGACCAAGCAGATTCTTTCCAGCAAAGAGGGCATTGTTATCCCAGCAAAGAGATGCAGAACTTGTTAGGCAAAACACGACCAAGCAGATTCATCCCAGCAAAGAGGGCATTGTTATGCCTATTGCAAATTGTTACTTAAATAATTCTGATTGCATCATGAGCAGAGGCAGAATCAAGATTTGAATCACACTTCCATTTGCGAAACATCTAGACAAATTTCGCAGAAATGGGATCGGAAAAGATCATCGCACATATACCTCTTCGAAAGTGAGGACTTATCTGAGGTTATAGCTGTGAGTTAGTTTTGGAAAAATATGGTTCTACTGCGTGCCTAAATTTATAGATGCTCCCACATCGGTAGCCACTTCAACCTAACCTAACCTAACCTACTTCGGCAACGGGTTGTGAAATTATAAACTTTTTTTTTTATAAATTTTTGGTTGCAGCGTAAAAATGGAATATGAAAATAAATTACATAGATCAACTTACCCATAAAATAATATGAACTTCGCAACTGAGAGATCAGCGTGGGCCGTCTTTAATCCCATCAGTAATCCTGAAAATAAATGTTGGGTAATAATTCATCATAAAAGTTACGAGTATTAGGTTTTATTTATTCTATCGTAATAGTTTTGTCGGTGTTTTAAGCATTCTATCTCAACTTTTAGGAATTAAAATCGAGTTTACTCTACGGACGGTATTTAAACTATTTAAACTACTTTAGTATTTAAGTAACATTTCATACGGATTTTAAATGAAATTGCTTTGACCCTCAACATTTTTTCCAGGTTGTGTTTTCGATCCTCAAATTATTTCCTCAGACTTTGGTAGGAAGGCAAACATTTTTACTAATTAATAGTTCTTGGTATGGTATTATTTCTGTGTCACACTTATTCGGAGGTAATAATATTTCTTGCGCTCGACCACAACACGTGCGGAATAGGATAGACACCGAGAACTGAAAAGGAAAGCAAGATGTATCTACAGATAAAAAAGAAAGAGCTCGGGCAGCTGGCCGACAAGGGTATTATTCAAAAATTCTATAAAAAGATAAGACGGCTTACAGAAGGTTTTAAGACCGGGACAGACTCTTATAGAAGGTGATCTACTGACATTTTTACTAATTAATAGTTCTTCCTGGTATTATTTCTGTGTCAAAATTATTCGAAGGTAATAATATTTCTTGCGATCGACCACAACACGTGCAGAATGGGATAGACACCGAGAACTGAAGAGGAAAGCTAGACGCATCTGCAGACAAAAAAAGGAAGAAGCCGAGATGCGTGAGTATGAAGAGCTCGGGCAGCTGGCCGACAAGGGTAATATTCGAAAATTCTATAAAAAGATAAGACGGCTTACAGAACGTTTTAAGACCGGAGCAGACTCTTACAGAAGGTGATCTAGTGACGGATGCCCAGATGTGGAGGAAACACTCCTCCAGTCTGCCGAGATGGTGAATCCAAAAACCCAATCGATGCCGATTATGACGAGGCTTGAATAGCAATCGCTCGCTTAAACAAGCTTAAACAGCAAAGCTGCCGGAGCTGCTGCAGCTGACGGCATAGCGGCACAGCTATTCAAAAAATGGCGACAAAGAGCTGACATGCTGAGATGCATCTGTTACTTTGCAGAATATGCTCGGACGAAAGCATGCCCGACGATTGGAATTTAAATGTGCTCAGTTTAATCCATAAAAATTGGGATTCCACAGCCTGCGCCAACTACCGTGGGATAAGCCTCCCAATATAAGGTCCAGTCGAGCAAAATTGGCTTCCAGTGACCAGTGGCTGTTGGCAGACCTCAGAAAATGAACATCGATAAGATATTTCACCCTAATGTAGATGTTATCACTGTAACTGGGGCCTATTCTGGGGCACGGATAACATTTTATCCTATGTTAAAAGAACGGTGTTTTATCTGTATAAGTTATTAGCTGTGTTCATTGAGAAATGTCAGTCAAAATGAGACAGTAAAAAAATTGAGAGAACAGGATTCAGTAAAAATTAGACAGCATATTGTACTACAGCTGTTTATTTTGTCGGTTGCATTTGAATCCGTTCTTTTATATACATAGTTTATTTTTATTTGGCAGTTATGTATATAATATTTTTAATTTATTTATTGTATTTAAAATGTATTGCATTTCACCAATTATAAAATTCTACATGATTTATACCCATCCAACGATAAAGATACCAATATGCTTTGGGATAGTTTGCCGCTTAGATTTTTAGTAAGGATGACTTAAATACGAAAATCAGTTTGAAATTCTTTTCCCGTGTCAGCCGGCTATATAACTCAACATAATTATAGAGTTTATTCGATTCGAATTTTTCTTCTAAATGCTACTAATAATTCATTTTGTGGATCGTCCTAGCTTTCGGAAGCTTAAAATTGAATATATTATCGTCACTGTGACCGTAGCAACAACTTTGCTTCGCAATCTTTCGCGGCTGATTTGGTCGACAATGTTTTTTTTTTTTTTTGGTAAATTTAAGGAATCCAAAATCAATTTGCGTTTTACAAAAAATAATAATATATTCTAATTCTATGCCCTCAACATTTCTAATTCCTAATTCATCAACGCGAGCTTCATGGTAAGCGAGCGATGATTCCACTACAGTGCCACCGCATTCTCATTGAATTGTTTATAACATTAAGATATGCAGTGTATCATTCATGTTAAAGAATTAATATTATTTTCATTTTAAATAATTTTTGTTTTCTTGACAAAAAATCAATTTTATGATCACAAATCAGCGGCTTTTCACACTGGTTATAAGGAACCACTTTTAATTATAAAAAATTTCAAGTGATGCTTATTTGTCAAGCTTTATTATTTACAAGTAATATTTCATAAAAATAAATAATAAAAATAAAAATACAAGAAATTTAAATTAACTTATGATTACTCAGCGGAATTATAATTTTATATTGCAATATTGGCTTTTTAAATAAACAAATAAAAGGATGATAAAATAAATGAGGTTAATTATTTTAAATTTTTATTTGTATTTTATTGTATCTATTAAAAATTATATGTGGGATATGGTTGTTTTCAATTTAGGTAAATATTCAATACTTACTTGATTTCATTTTCACTGCTTTGAACATATTTCCTTAAAAAAAAAAAGAATAGATTTAATAATTATTATTTTTATTGTACATTTAGGAATTAGTTTTTGGGCATACACAAAATGATTCAATGAAATTTGACATATCTTTCATATTATGCTCGTATAAAACTTTCTATGCCGGAAAGATACGCCAAATATTAGTATGATTTAGATATAAGCAAAGTTCGTGCATACGCAGCGAACATGTGTAATTCCTATACGTTCAACTTGAAGCATAGATCCGAATGGTGCATTTGGCATACTTCGAGGCAGTCAGATTGACATTTTCGTGAAAGATTTTGTGCAGCGAATATACAAATAATTAGTTAGAGCAATAATATTAGGTTGTCCCTTCCGCTTTTTTGTCTTTTGAATTTCGCGGCTATGTACAAAGCGCTAGAGAGCTCGTATCTGGCAACACTATACATAATTTGAAAGGTCCTGACATAACCTACAAAACAACGCTATGCATGATTAGTTTGGATATTGCGTTCAACAGTTATAGACGTGTAAACATCGAGTTCACTAACGCCGAAATTCGCGCTATTTTAAAGTTTTCCTTCGTTAAAGGCAAATCCGCTAGAGAAACGTTCCGTGAGATTAATGGTGNGCAAACACTGTAACGATAAATTTTATGTTTATCGAAATATTTCTATCGCTTTGGAAAAATTTAGAAATATGAACGTTACAGCAGTTATTCAAAAAAAAAATGTCTTCTCGTTGTAACCCATTTTAAAATTAACGTTAACGATGAGCTTGTGGCTTCAAGGTTAAAGATTTCATTTCGTTGAGTTAGTAAAACGGAATGATATGGTTGCGTATGTTGAGCATCTCTGCCATAAACAGTTTTATATACAGTGACTCACAACTAAAATGATGCAGCTGTGTGAGAAATATTATTATATAATAAGTTTTATTTAAAAATTAAATAAATGCCAGTTAAAGGCGAAAAATATACAAATTTTATTTGTGCTTTAAAATATATTTATTTATATATATATTATATATAATTAACAACAAAAACAAACTTCACTATTAAATTGTACCTCACAGCGAAAGTGACGCAGTAACAAGAAAAAAAATAATAATTTCATTTATTTAAAGAACAAAACTAAAATTGTATCTTAATCAATATTTAGTAGGATATTCCTTTCTGTCTATGACTGCTTTTTATTATAATCGTTTTTTAGAGTTGGTTTGGTTTCGAATCACACATTTTCGAATCTCTTGTTCCAAAACTGACCACATCATCTCAATCACATTCAAATTTGGAGACTGCGGTGGGGTTTGTACCATGTGCGGACTGTTCCAAACAAGCCAACTTTGCACAACGCCTTATTTGTGTTTCGGATCATTATATTGATAGTACCGAAACTTGACACGAATATTTAATTTTGGCGCACTTTGCAACAAATTTCATTTTAAAATGCCCAAATACACAGTCTTATCCATAGTACTATTGATGAAATACAAATTTCCAAATCTAGAAAACGATGCATCCACATAGCATTACATGCCATCCACCATGCTTTGCAGTGCTTAAATTTTGCAACATTTGGTTTTCTTCATACGTAATTCTTTCCATCTGATCTAAACAGGCTGAATTTACTTTCGTCTGCAAAAATTACGGTGTCGTAGAAACTTTCATCTTTATATAAAAGCTCCTCTGCAAACATTAGCATTGCACTTTGATTTTTAGCACTGACATATGATTTATTTTGAGCTGTGCGGCCATTGAAATCTGCTTCTCTGAGGATTCTTCGTGTGGTTTCTCGGTTACAGCTTTTTCCGTACAATCCATCCGGAATCACTTTCGTCAAACAAGTATTGAGGTGCGCGATTGAATCCTAAAACATTATAAAGATGGTAAAAGACAGCGTAAAATCGGGGAAATGATGAAATTGAGCTAAGGAACTGTTCAGCATATCATTTCGTGAAAGTCGTGTGTTAAATAAAACTTTCGCTGTGAGGTGAAATTTTTTTTTGTAAACTATAAGTGCGGACAGAGCCTTCTTTGAAACCAAACCGAAAAATCGAGAAAATAAACGAAGTGTCATATCTCCATTGTCAAAACTCATATCCTCTAGCACCTTCATTATTGCAGTGGGTCTGCCTTTCGGAAGGTTCGAGTTCAAATCCCCGTGCGACCAACATCCAAAAGTTATAGAAAATTAATTTAAATAAAAAATCAAGTTAAATTTTCTAATTGCGGTCGCCTTTCGGCACGGAATGGCAACCCCTCCGAGTGTATTTAAGACATGAAATAAAAAATCTCCTCATAAAAAACCATCAGCCGTTCGCAGGCGGCTTACTATAAACTGTAGGTCCCCCCATTTGTTGGAAAAACATCAGAATGCAAAAGCACAAATTGGAGAAGGAGCTCGGCGGAAAATCACTTCAGCGGTTACAAAGCGCTTATATGTTATTAATTGTCTGAATTTTTTTTTTTTGATTTTTACTTAATTTTTTATTTTTATTTTTTTTATTATGCAACCAATTTCATGTATTAGAAACAAATATTCAGCTTTTTAAAATTAAAGAAAATTATTTTATAAAAAATCCAAACAGTTAAGAAAAATGAAACGTATTCACCAAAAACTCAATTACTTTGTACTTTACTTTCTAAAATCTAATGAAAATATTTACAAAAATATGAAAATTTTTTTATGAAAATTTATGAGATATTTAGACGAATTTGTAAAGGTGAAAGGCGGAGAACAAATGCAACAATTACCGAGTATTTTGTTTTGGCTTTAGCAAAGCGGCTGTCAAAATAATGGAAAATTAATTGTGCTCCCATTTTTTGCATTCACAAATTTTCCTGTAGATTCGGATAGAAGTCAAATTATTCATTTTCCGACTTTCACATCAATTTATATTGTTAATTGAATCAGGGTGCTTTGTTGTCAGTGAATTGAAATGCAAAGGGATAAAAGTGCACATTCGTTGCTGCTCATTTAACATTTTTCTACCAATGATCTGATATTTGTGGAATATATTCAACATATCTTTGTATTAGTTATTTATTGAAATTTTCATAATTTCTACGATTTACTCAGGATACCTGGAAAAATTCAGACATCTTTGTTACCGAAAGACAAATTTCCGCGGCTGCTGTTTGTGAATTGTCTGTAAGACTGTAACAAAAAAAAAAGTGTGAGTGCGAAGAGCGTATGTAACCTCGATGATTTTCTGAATCCTTCGGGCATGATCTCTGGATTGTTAAATAAAACTCGCCAACTTAATTTGCAGTTTCTTTCGTTACAAAGAATTTATCTAATGTCCTTTATTTACTCAGTAATTCACAATTCAATTACAAGGCACTTTACTAGCTACAATCACTTGCATAAACTTTC